TTTAACTCAGACACAGTCCATATTATTGTCCAAAGTCCTAAATAGTGCATTAATTCAGTCTAGATGTCCACACATCCATTAACCAGGACTTTGGCTTTGATGCAGGTTATGAGTTTTGATATACAGGCCGGCTGTGGCCTAAAGAGTTAAAGAGGCAGTTAGTTCTTAGTTGGACGAGTAAGGATCAGACACAGTGGAGGGTGTGGGAGACGGAGTAGATGGAGCTGAAAGAGATTTATCTGATGCTGCATCGTCAATTTTCTCTTGTATGCTCTGTCCCGGGTCTGAGGATGAAGCTTTGGCCGGAAGCAGCCCTTCTTTCTCCCTCTTCTTCTGCTTCATCCTCCGGTTCTGGAACCAGATCTTCACCTGAGTCTCATTCAGCTGCAGAGCTGCTGCGATTTCAACGCGGCGCGCACGTGTCAGGTACTTGTTGAAGTGAAACTCCTTTTCCAGCTCCGTCAGCTGCTTGGTGGTGAAGTTGGTCCGGACCGTGTTCGGCTGACCCCCGTAACCGTACTCCCCAGACCGGCCTGCAGACAGATAAACAAATCACTGTGAACTTATTGTATAAGGTTCCCTTACATGTTCACTGCTCACAACACACATGGGGGACAACAGGGTTTGGATTAGGTTAAACTTTTACGCAGCAAAAAGCAGCTTTTACGCAGCAGATCATTAATGTTAGCTGCTTTGAAACATGCTGTATTACACATACATTGTCTAATATAACACTGAAAGATAACATCTGCTACGTTATTTAATATATTACAAAAATATGAATTCCCAGCCTTCTGTCGTTCAATTAACAACAACATAACAAACGTGGCCCATTCAAACACGAGTTGTTGAATATAAAACCTATTTGAACTCAGAACGCTCATTAGACATATTTGTTAACACTTTGTACCATTGGCACTTTGCACCCACCTGTTTTTGGTGGGTTCCTCTTGACTTTCATCCAGTCGAAGGTCTGAGCAGAAGATGCACCCTCAGACAGAGGCGAACAGCACGCATCCATGTGGGCTGCATGCAGTGGTGACAGTGGATTTGAGCACCCAGGAAACGGGGCAGCTTGCTCGTGCCCGCTGCCATAGGCAGCGTGGGCATACTGCAGCTGACCCAGAGGGGCGGCACTGTAACCTTGGCGATGCTGAGAGACCATTGATGAGGAAATGTTACCCGAGTACATTAGTGGACTGCACTGGGGGAATCCCGCTGTGGAATCTACTTCCTGATTGAGCGCGTAATGGTTATACGTAGCACAGAAACCTTGGGGTCCATAGCTGGAGCTGCAGGCCGGATGTGCTCCATAGGCGAGACCCAGAGAGCTCGCAGACTGGTATGACCCCGGCTGGTGAGGAATGCCGTCAGGGGAAGCCCTGCTCCCCATGAAGCGGTCATCAGTCCCGCAGTTGTTGACAGTTACCGCGCAAGACTGAAAAGTTGTAATCCCGTGATCTGAGTGGAAAGCCCTGACAGAGCACGAGCCACCTTCACCGTTCATCACCGAGTAATCTAAGAAGCTGCTCATTGTAGCATTGTTCGACCGGGGGGCGAGGGACAGTCCGCTCGACAGACACCCTCTGATCCTCTCTCCCCACTTACCCTGAGTGACCGTGCCAACCTTTACCTATAGTACTCTGTTCCTATCAGGGGAAGGAGGGGGCGCGAGGGCCGATATCAGTGAACGGGTGCTGTCACGTGGACCGAGGTCAGCCAGTGAGGTAGGCCTACTTGTCCTTATCCCCTTAGCCGGTGACAGATTGGTGTTTGAGTGGCTATTTAAATTCCAGGCGCTCGTCGATCAAGGTGACGCGCGTCGCCACTAATGTATTGGCCGAGCAAACAATGAGCTGGGAGGCAGACGGCGGCGGACAGCACCGGGGTCGCATGAAGACTGGGGAACGGCAAACACAGCGTCTTCTACCCCCTGCTGTGTGCTCTCCTGCCCGAGGAAAGATTAACGTTCACCCCCTGCAACTTCCCCATGAGGACGACCTAGCAGCCTGACCTCAGGTACGGTATTTTTTGTAATAGAGGGGAAAGTGTGCATGCGTGTGTGCCTGGACCTATTGGTGTGTATGCTTGGGAGCTGTCGTGCATGTGCCCCCGTGCGTGTGTGTATCCTCTCGTGCGTAACAGCCATGATCTTATGTATTATGGTGTCATTCTCTCCTGGATGGATAGCTCAGTGTGTACGAGTGTGTGTGTGTCACTGCCACAGGCGATGTCCCATTCCAATGCGAAGTGTTTCACGCTTTAACACTGTGAGGGATTTGCTCAGCAAATATGTTCACAGTGAAAGAACTCCTGTCAAAGAGAGATTTCCCAAAACTTTGTTCCTCATCAAGGTCGAGTTGGAAATGTTTGCCTGGTTTCTGCACTTGCTAGCAATGCTAGGAGGTCACAGGTGTAACGACAAGAAAACCTATTAAACGCTAAAATGATTTAGTATTAAATGTTCCTATCCCGGGGTCAAAGGGTCTGCTATCTTCTCTGATTTCACTCCCACGTGTATTCATTATGCACGTATAGTGATCAAATTATCTGATAATGCGCAGCCCATCGTGGACCTATTATAATGTATAGCCCGAGGTGCGACTGTGGGCTGATTATCCCGTTAAGTTCATCAAATAAAGCTGTTTCTTTATTGCCTGAAATTAATGGCGGCGAAAAGCTGCGCTGGAAGAAAAAAAAAATAGACAGAGCTGAGCAGGGGAAATGTGTGTGCGTGGGAGAGCTGCTGTGTATAGCAGAGTGCAGAGGCAACCTCTCACTGAGGAAGGAAAATAAATGGGAGGGGAGGAGGGAGGGGAGGAGGGTGATCATATCGGGGGAAGAGCGCCCCTAATGGCTGTACGTGGTCAAACACTTTAAATGTTTTCAATCCTTATGGTTTATTCATGACAGTCTTCAGATATGCAACGATGGATGCATTGATACATGCAAAGGGAAAGATAGATAGATAGATAGATAGATAGATAGATAGATAGATAGATAGATAGATAGATAGATAGATAGATAGATAGATAGATAGATAGATAGATAATAGACATATACATGTAGGCTATGAATTGGTATTCTGCTGCTAAATGATTTGCGCTTATAGCTCTTTATGTTAAATATAACTTAACTCTGTCATGGAGTGTTAATTAAGTTTTACTCTTACTTTTTGGGTAAAGTATCTTAATACTTGTTCAACCACTGCTTTAAAATGTAGATGTAAACAAGGATAACATTTACCAAAAATTGAGTATTGATACCAAAAGTTATCAGCTATTGCAAAACGTTCTACTAGTTAAAAAATCGCAGTGGGGTCAAAAATGCCCCCCGACTCCCTTCTCTCCCCCTCTTCCCAGCTGCCTCTGCAACAGAGTGAGTGAGTGGGCGCAGGGGATCCTGTCTGTGGAAACTTCGCCAGGCCTTGGAGCTTTCTTGGCTCTTTGTGTGAACACATGTGAGCAGAAAGGGCGCGCTGTCTCGGAATGATTTGGTTATACTGGCCCTGTGGTTGGTCACTGGGCGCTGGATTGCAGAGGAACTGCCCCCCTCCCGCACATTTTTCTTTACCCTCAAAACCCCCCTCCTTAAATACACACTCACATTGCACACACTCACAGTTACCCAGTAGGCTAATATTAAACCATTCGATTGGCTTCTTATGGTTTCCAGATTATTCGATAAACCGCAGTTAAACCATTGAGTTTCTGAATCTCGGATCAGATGAGTTTCTGAATCGATCCATGAGGCAGCGTGGCAACCGGTGGTTGTTTTTGCTGCTCGTAAAACTGTTTACGCTATTTCAAACTGTGCATGAGCAAATACCCGATTCCCATAAATCATCTCAAGTGCAATACAATAGAGCAAAATCATTCATAATCCCTATATTAGGCTACTTCAAGACTTCCTAAACGAATATAACTGCTCCTCCAACAATGTTGCAAAAGCCCCCAAAACAAACTCTCTTGATAAAGTTATCCAGACATTGCATAATGAACCTCTCTCTGAATCTATGCTTAGTTCATTTGTGTCTGATAAATTGCTTCTAATCCATAAGTAGTCTGTTTTGAGTTTGAGCTACTTTAACACTCGGGGAAAAGTGCAGCCTCACACCCTGCTACTGCAGGCTGCCGCTGTCCCCGAGCCAGGGCCGTGTTTAAACAAGCTATAAAAATGAATTATTACCAAACGCATGCAGAGACTCAGCCCCCTTTTAGCACACGAATTGGGGAGTCCCGTATGAAAATGTAAGTGGAGTTTTATTTGTGCACATTACGCCACAATTGGTCTCCTTAATGTCCGTCTCATTCATGCCACGGAGTGATTTATGAGCTCCTGAAGGCAAACATGGCCTGGCTATTCCGCTGCAACACGCACACAATGTTAAGAGCCCTGTCAGGCTAGGATTCGTGCAGACGTGTTTGCTTTTACTCTCCAAAGTATGAAGTGTGAAGGTGAACATTAAAATAATCTGCATTAGGGTGTAGGAAGCTTGTGCCAATAAGATACCTGTGTAAATCTAAGAACATCTAAAAACAATTCCAGCAAAGCAAGTTACACTTTTTAACTCATTATTAATTGTTAGTTTCTAAACTACAATTTTTAAAAGTTATTTTACTACATTTAAAAAAAAGTTTATCTCTGAAGTTTTTAATAAAATATGTTTTTGTGCCTTTAAAAACATGTTGTAAAAATGATTTCAGTAAACTATAGTCATATTTAAAGCAATTCCCGTTTTGTTGAAATGTAAACTTTACAAGTAAATTCCAATCATGTGTGTGCCTTCACTACTGAAATCAATGCGGACTAGGCTATTTATATTCATTGCCAACCTGTTGTTACATTTGCATAACGTCTCTATATTTGCCCTACTTCTTTGATTTTGCATATTTTCAACATGAATAATTCTAGCTAAAACACCCAGTCTGGAAATAGATATAAAAAACGACTCAAAACACCAGGAGAAAGGATTGTAGCAAGTTAATTGTATTCTAACAAAAATATCCAAGACATTGGAAGCTATACAAAAATAAAATGACCAGGATCCATAGGCCTAATATTGTATAATTATTCACATACACTCATAATTTCCATTCCATTAGATCAATTTGTTATGGTAATTACAAGTCACGTCTTGAGTAGAGCCATTTCAGTGATTTAATTTCATCCTTACCTTGTATTAATCGTCAAGTCAAATATCAACAGAATAAATGTGCCGAATATACAAATAACATCAGAGTTAATACCATCGCAGCCTGATATGTATTGTCCCGAGAGAAAGGAAGAAAGCTAGTGTGATTGATTTCAGTTAATAGTTCAGATGCTGCAGGTCGATTGTAGTTAGGGACTCCGAGAAAAAAAAGAAACTGTCGGTAGAAATGTCTACGGAGCTGTCCAGAGACTCTGACAGGCTCGGCGAAGCTGCATCGGAGAGCTGTAGGCAGGAATCCGAGGAGAAAGGTTGAAAGTCGTGTATAGAAACATCCAGGGCCGGGGGACTGTCGCCATTGTCCGGGCCAGATGCCGAGCCTGGGCCCATTGTTGACATGCATCCCGGAACAGTGGGTGACGGGTTGGGAAAATGTTTCAGATTTTTGTCATTGCTGTTCAGCGGCGCAGCAGCAAAGCCCATGGACTCGCCATTGTGGAGCTGCTGTATGGAGCTCAGTGAGTTATTCTGAAAGGAGCAGGTATCTCTCTCCAGCAGGGCCCCGCTCCTCTCGTACAGGGGGCCCTCATCGTCCTCCTCGTCGTCGCTGTGGAGGTCGTCCTCGGCCCCCGGCCCTTTCGCCTCCCCGTTGTGGTTCTCCTTGCTCTGGTTCTGTCGCTTGTGCTTCATGCGCCGGTTCTGGAACCAGACTTTGACCTGTCGCTCGGTCAGGTCCAGCAGGGCCGCTATTTCCACTCTCCTCGGCCGGCAAAGATACTTGTTGAAGTGGAACTCCTTCTCCAGCTCCAGCAGCTGTGTGTTGGTGTACGCGGTCCTCAGCCGCCGGGAGCCCCCTCCTCCCCCTCCGCTCTCCGCCATCTCAGGCGAGTCTGGAAAATAAGCATTACGGTAGCATGGGATTAAAAACGCAGGACACAACAGTTACATAACCCCGCTGCCCGTGAATCTAACATTATGGCTTTCCCAAACCACCAGAGAGAGGCTCACAACATGCTGCAGCAAAATGGCCGCTGGAGCTACTGACCCAAGCCTGTAAACCTTTTTATCCCAAAAATCAATACAACATAAAGATACTAATCAGACAGTTTTAAACACAACAATAATGTCCAGCATGAGTGTGAAGCTAACACAGTGCACTAAAAGCAGTGAGGTCCAGGCTGCTGTGGGATACTAATGAATGCTCCAGCTGCCCTCCTCGGCAACGGCACTCCATCACTCTTCATTACTGTCACACATCAAAACTGCCACGGCTAGGGGAATAAATCATCTTACATCACCAAACTTTATCCAAACTTTTTTTTTTCTTCAAACAGAATCACAGCAAAGCAGTAACCATAAATCTACCAGAACAAAACGGATGTAGCCTGTTTGATATTAAGGAAAGGCCTGAGCTCTTATTTAGCAAAAAATAGTCTAGTCAACACATTTGCAGAGAAGGTTCCCTGTTTGTAAATACACACCTTTTGGGGAAAAACACACAGGTCCATTGGAGATGGTGGTCGCGGTGGAAGTCGGCAGGTGATTCCGCTTGGAGGCTTTCTTCTCCCGCATCCAGGGGTACTCCGGGGGTAGAGAGGCTGTGGCCAGCGAGCTGCATCCGTCAGGGCTGTGTCTGGGCCGGCCGTGCCGCGGATGGCTGCCCGGATTCAGGCTGGGAATGGTCTGCTCAAAGGGAGGAGGAATCAGTGTCGGGCGTGAAAGCGTCGAGCTCTTGATTGATGAACTTTGAAATGAATCAGCGACAGGGGGGAAAGATGTCAGGCACTCAGCAAGCGACGGCTGACTATTGATAAAACCGCTCTCTCGCTCGAATTCGTAATTCATCTCCGCTCCCTGAGAGCCGAGGAAAGTTTGCACGCGTATTTTTATAAATGTTGCGGCTCAATGAGGACGAGAAAGAAAAAATCATTTAAAAAAATCTCCTGGTGGTGTTTTTTTCTATATCACTGATTACGGCCGTATGGGGACCGAGCTACTATTAAACTATTGAATTCATGGAGACAAGGTTGAAATTGGACCGAATTGCCTGTCACATGATTACCTCTGCCCAATGACAATTTGGGGTTTAATCAAAAGGAGCCACTGTCTGCCTGATTGATCCAAAAACTCTGATGAAGAACGCCTCGCTCAGCTGGGGGACGACTGTTTTTATTTACATCTTTGTCCGCTCAGTTTATCCTCCTCTCGCCCTTCCAGTCCAGTCCACTAAGCCACAAAATGTGTTTTTTAAGAATGGCTGACGCTCACTATTACAGGGAAGGAACCCAGCCTGGGTGCGCGGATTCGTGCACTCCTCTTTCTCGTATTGTTTGAGGATGTCAGTCTAGAACGCCCCCACACCACACACACACAGACACACAGACACACACACACATTTCACGCCAGCTATTCAAATAAGGCAAGAGTCTGGCTTTAGATGTGTAAAAAAGATACCCCAAAAAATGATATTGAGACTTTTCGACAGAAACCAACCCCAACAATCCAGTCTGCACAGTGAGTGTGGACTCCAGAATAGATGGGATTTTTCAAAGATGCATAATAATGAAATATGAAGTGCATCCATTGACATGTGTTGCAATAAAAAGCCCATCCATTGAGTTAATAGTGACGGATATGACATGTACAGACCATTTTGTACACATAACAGCTGTTTAACATTTACAGATCGGGTCCAGAAATGTGTACGAAATTACACACGCACATATTTTATGTATGTGTACCCATAAACATTGTTTTACTATACACTTTAATATGGACACTTTGGATATGATATAAAAGCACATACGTTTTTCGTTTATTTCAACAAAGCTCGATTTTGAAACGAGGTCATCCCATCCATCCATGTGTGTGCACAAACCCACAGACATGAGGCCAGAAAAACAAGGAGCATTTTTCTAATATGATAGGTAATTTTCTAATATTTCGATCACCAAAAGCTGCCATTGTTGTTTAAATATTGTGTTAATAATTTGAAGAATTTCATGTAACTGTTAAGATTAGAAACCCTCAAAGCACATAGCAGAGTTTACAGGGAGGACAAGAGATATAATGCCGAGGAAACCATCCCTCTGTATTTCCAGAAATCAATTCTACCTGAAAATGCAATGAAGCAAACACCGTTACATTTACAATCGACCATTTGCAGCGTTATTATGTAAATGGTATATTCTTATTGAACGGCACTTTCCTGCAGTGTGTGGTTTTATAACCCTTCCAGAGTCCTAGAAAGCCACATTTGGGATGTTTTTCGTCAAGCAGTACATGTTGTATTTTCATTTCCAAAAAATGGTTTGGAGAGTAAGAAAGAGGAAGAGGAGAAGTGGTAGGCCTCTCTCAGTTTGTTGCTTATATACCAAACAAAGAGTCCTGGAAGCCTGCGCGCGATCAATCTTACTCGCCAAAAGGTCTGACAGCTCGGTGCCCTCACAACACATTTAAGGCTTCTAACTCTCCCCCGGATCAAATGCAGCCAGGAAGCGGCGAGAAACACTGGCCACTCAGATTAGAACCAGTTTCTGCTCGCAGTTGTAGCCGGGCTGTCGCTGGAGGGGTATTTTAGAAGATACATAAGAATCCATCTGCACAAGATGTGACCATTTCCTTTTTGAGGAGGCTGTAATGCGCCAACGGTGAGTATGGCGAAGCAGCTTCTCCACCTGGCTTTTATCTTTAAATCGTGAATGCATTCACATAAAAACGTGCATTTGTCGTTCTAGAGGACATGCAGGTTTTTGAGCGGACCAGGGGCAGGACAGAGTTGCTAGGGAAGAGATGGATGGCTTTTTTGGAATTACGCACAGGCTTTGTGTGAAGGAAAGGAGTGGGTGGCGGCATTTAGTGGACCCCAGCCTGTCCACTGGTCTTTACATCAGGATTGATTTAGGACCACTTTCCCACGGATGGATATGCATAAGAAGAAATACAAATGTACTGTTTCAGTTCAAACGTTATTTATGTGCTACCTGTTTATGGCACATATGGGTCATACCAGTAGCTTGCTGTGAGTGCGTGTATGCAGCGTGTCTGTGTTGGATGCAGATAGTGCATCAGCTTTTTTTTTTTTTACTGAGACACATGGTTCAATTGTTCTAGGTGTCCCTGCTAACCATATGTCAGGGTTAGTAATGTGCATGCCCTCTCATATTAATCAGATTGGGCTGACAATTACTTATAAGTGTAATATCAGTTACGACAAATAATACTGCAGTTGCACAAAGGAAAAATATTAAAAAAGAAATACCATAGTGCAAAAATGGTTTTGGTAATTTGATAAGACAAACATGTGAATAAATATCTGTGCATTTTTGTCATGAAAAGAAATACAAAAAGCATTTTAGCTCCATGTGTGAATGTGTTACATTTCTTTAGGAAATTACTGCAAACAATTGAAACATGTAGAATAATTCTTATGCAGGCCCTTCATTTTATCAAAAAACGCACACAGATGAAATCACTGTCGTGCTTAAGCTTTTCATGATAATGTGCTTTGTATCGACACCACTGAGGTTTTTCGTTTTGAACTGGCTTTGACACTGGCATCTGTAAATCTGTAATATTATGAGACAAATAATCCCCCTTACGATTTCTACTTCAGTCTGTATCCTCTCTGACCGAATTTGAGTGACTGAACACATCAGGAAATTATTTTTCAAACGATTTCTCATTTAGCTTGTTGTCTTCTTGCAGAATCTCCAGAAGGGCCGGGGTGACATTTTTATTATTATGGATGTGCCCACGCGCATGAGAGGAGGGGAGAAGGCCACCGAGAGTTTTCTTCACGTCGAATATAAAGGGATAGAAAAAAGGGAGTATATTTTATTCAATATTTGACTTAATCTGAGGCCAATTCCTTTTCTGTTTTTGAATATTAAATATGGCCACGGATTTCACATTATTTTTAAGCATAATACAAAATATAGAGATCTACAAATGTTCGTCCATGGATTATTATGCTATTGTTATTGTCTTTTATAATGGCAATTTTGCAACCATTTATTTCCCCCTTTTTGTGATCACCAATACAAGTATAAAACGTCATGAAATATATAAAAGGAACCATATGTAAGAATGGGAAATGTATTTTTGAAATGTTTTATCGAGAAGTGTCTTGAATTAAATGTGTTGTGTAATTGTATAAATGCTTATGATGTGTCTGAATTAAAACTACAAGTTTTATGCAATTGTATTTCAATTATTTTATTTATTTCTTCGAACTGGGAGCAGCGTGGAATGTATGACATCGAAAAGGAAATTAATGATGCCTGTTTTTTTTTTCTTCAACAAAAGAAATTGCTAATGTGTGTCCTTCTTTCCACCCTTATTGCATGACTGATTGATTTTACATTCACTGAGAAAATAAAAACACCTCCTTGAAGAAAAAAAGAGAAAACATAGCCTATAACAGCAACATGGTGCTTCTGCTACTGTGGAGTTCCTGCACGCTATGTATGGGCTGAAAAAGGGCTGAGACGCTTACTTTCCACCAACCTTGTCACCACACATAGATCGCAAAGGTGTCAAATAATACTAAAGGACTCTTTTATCGTAACACCGAACACAAATAAATAACATTATAAAGTCCAATAGAGCAACATAAGCAAGGGAGGTTGCGTGTAAGCTCATGACCCTTGTTCTTGAAAATGTTTTCCCCTCATAATCCCAACTCGTGTCGTTTGAAGGATCCTTGCAAGTGCAACAAAATGCAAAACACAATTCTTCAACTGCGGATAAATAAAAGACGAACAAATTCACATTAAAAATGAATAACATATGTTCATAATACCCTGTTTGCGTTTCAATTTTAAAACAATATTCAAAAAAAGATTAAATAGTCCTATGCTTATACTGTGCCCTCCTCCCTCCCACTCTAGACGTCCTACAGCTCAGTCTTTGTGAGACAATGACACGAGCAAATAGAAGAAAAATTCAAGCAAGTCGTGATTATTTACCCTACGCTACTTCACACATCAAACTATAGAAAACATAAACAAAAGCAGAGAGAAGGTGGACGCCGTTAGGAGGCGCAGAAACAAAGCAGTAATGTGTCTGGAGGTGGACAATGGGCGGAGTGATCCGGGCTGCGCTACCGCTACAGATGCGTCAGTTTGGGCGCTTCCTGGATTCTTCCCTGAGAGTAGTGCGCTGTTAGGTCTGTGTACGTCGGTGTCGGATCACACACTCCGTGATGCTGACTGTTACCCATTGTGATTGCTCCATTGTAGTCCATGTTTGTGGACGGCGGGTGCGATAGATGGGTCAGACCGAAAACGGAGGTCCCAGAATTGGGCATTGAGTCGATGTAACCTCCACCGACATACACGGGGCTGCCCTGCATGTGACTCCCGTAGTTGCCATTGCCTTGAAGAGGATGCGCGTCATACTCGGGCGTGGCCGAGTCGGTCCCGGGATACCGCTTCTGGGAGGGAGGGCAGTTGTTGAGGGAGTTGTTCAAAGGAGGGGGATATGACGTGGCCATACCGTATGCATTTTGATGAGGTTTATTGTAAGACGTCGGCGACTGGGATTCGTAAGGTACACTGTTTACAAGAGAATGCATAGAGTTGAGGTATCCTCCACCACCGCCAACCCCGGAGCCTGGGCCCACGGGACTCCGAGGGGACTGTCCGCCAGGGGAAGGCATCATTCCGACGCCTTTCTGATCCTTCTTGTATTTCATCCTGCGGTTCTGGAACCAGATTTTGATCTGTCTCTCGGTGAGGTTGAGCAGGTTCGCCATCTCCACCCTCCTGGGTCTGCAGAGGTACCGGTTGAAGTGGAACTCCTTCTCCAGCTCCACTAGCTGGGCGCTGGTGTAAGCTGTCCGGGCCCTCTTCGATGCTGCTGACCCCGGAGGACTCTTGTCTCCGGGGCAACTCTCCACTGTCAGGGAGAAGGAGAGGAGGATGTCAATCAGTAATCCATTACAGACAGATAGAGAGAGAGAGACAGAAA